AAAGGAATTTGCAGCTTATTAGGCTTCCAAAAGATATTAAACTTAAGTTGAATCTTGATGGATGATGCAAATTGCAGTATATAAGAATGGGTAGAGGGCATCTGAGAAAGAGATTGTTAATTGTAGGATGTATACATGGAGCAAGAAGTAATGCTATTTGTGTGGACTATAGGATATGTGAAGAGGAATGGTGGAAAGGTAGACCAGAATGATCAGTTGAATTGAGACTGAAGAAGGTAATGAATTCCAGGTTTAAAAATGTTTGTGCTATAGATTCAAGTCAAAGTATGACAAAACCAATACAATGTTGTAAAGTAAAATAAATTAATTAATTAATTTAAAAAATGTTTGTGCTTAAACTGCAGATAACAGGGAGCTGTGAGATCTAACTATTATCTATATACCTATCCAGCTATCTGGAGATTTTTTTTTTTAAACTGGTTAGGTACATGATCAGAACAGGCTTTTAGAGTAGCCTATGAAGGTCAGCAGGGAAAGATATAGGCTTATAGACTTATATCATGGACCCATTGATCTGGAAAGCAGTCCAAGTCCACATTGTAAAGGTAGGGAAATGATCCATTCAAGGTCACACAAGAAGTTAGTTTTAGTATTAATACTGGAATCTAGGTCTCTTGACTCCCGGGTATTATTACTCTTCCATCCCTGCCTCAGTTTGACTTGTGGCTTTGCTGTGGCACTTTAGAGGTAGGAGAGAACATCACTGGGGTCTTTCAACCAAGAAAGCCCTTTGCTACTACTTCAAAGTTCGACATAATGAAACATCAATTTGTAGCTCCCAATAAAGAGTCTGGCAGCTGAGCTGGTAAAGAATCTGCCTGCAATGCAGGACACCATGGTTCAATTCCTGGGTGGGGGATATCCCCTTGAGAAGGGATAGGCTCCCCACTCCAGTATTCTCAGGCTTCCCTGGTGGCTCAGATGGTAAAGAATCCACCTGCAATGTGGGAGACCTGGCTTTGATCCCAGAATTGGGAAAATCCCCTGGAGAAGGGAGTGTTACTCACTCCCTTATTCTGGCCTGGAGAATTCCATGGACAGAAGAGCCTGGCAGGCTACAGTCAATGGGGTCACAAAGAATCAGACATGAATTAGTGACTTTCACTTCCATAAAGAGCCTAGGAAGATGCAAGTCTAACGACATTTGTTTTCCAAGGCCTTGGGTTGATGTCTATTTGCATGTGCCTGCAACTGGTAAATGAATGGGTTTCATGTTTCAGGGAGTGTCATCCAGTTCTCTCATCAAAGGAAATGATAGCCTTAGTGTGGATACAGCTTCAGGTAGAAATGTTTTCTGACTCTGACTGAAGTGTATGCTTCTTATCCAGTACTCACTCCAGCAACCAGTAGAAATGGAACAGTGTTTTCAGCTGTTATAATCTGATCTGCAGGTGAGCAAGCAGCATCATGTGGCTAGAGGTTCTCAACTATGCCTATACATAGCATCACTTGGGGAACTTTTAGAAAATATCCATACCCAGGTCCTACCCTAATCAATTAAACTGGTATCTCTGGTGATTGGGTCCCCAGTACTATATAATTTCAATGTTCTCTATGTTTAGCCAGGGTTGAAAACCACTGGAACTTGTGAGTACTTGGGCTTTGGAAAGTAGATAGGCCAGAATCTATTGCCAATGAACTATGAGGTTACTTCTCATCTCTCTGTTTGTTCAGCTGTAGAACAGGTATAATACTTTTTATCTTTCAGGGTTATGGCTAGTGTTAAATGAGAATATGTGCATAATGAGTATGCACATAGTGCATACTCATAATGAGTATAGTATCATAGCATCTAGAACAGAGCAAGTGTTCAATAAAAAAAGTTAGCTAAATTTTTACAATTTATTTTATTATCATTATCATTATTGTTATCATTTATAACATTTTCCTTTTTAATTTATTTTTATTGAAGGATAATTTCTTTACAGAATTTTGTTGTTTTCTATCAAACCTCAGCATGAATCAGCCATAGATATACATATACCCCCTCCCATTTGAAACTTCCCCCCATCTCCCTCCCCATCCCACCCCTGTTTGAGTCTCCTAAACCACACAGCAATTTCCCGTTGGATATCTATTTTACATATGGTAATGTAAGTTTCCATGTTATTCTTTCCATACATCTCACCCTCTCCTCCCCTCTCCCCATGTCCATAGTCTATGTCTGTTTCTCCATTGCTGCCCTGTAAATAAATTCTTCAGTACCATTTTTCTAGATTCCATGTATGTGCATTAAAATACAATATTTATCTTTCTCTTTCTGACTCACTTCACTTTTACTACTACTACTACTAACAACAAAACAGCAAACACTAGGAAAAACAGTGGATGCAGAAAAAGGAGTTATAAATCTTAGTCCTCTCTCTACCACTTACCTAATTATGTGATTGTGGATGAGTGAGTTCACCTTTCCAAACCTTAGTTTACTTCTCTGTAAAATGGAGAAGATAAGACCTATCTACTATTCTTTCCTCACAAGCTTATTGTGAACATCAATAGTTATCTGGAAGAGTACTTTGAATGGTATAACATTTTAGAAAAATTAGATGATGATTATTATTATTATTTTGGTCATTATTTAGCTACAATTCTGTGTACATGACCTGGTGCTAAGGGGAATGGTGTGTCCAGAAATGTAAGATACAGCCTAGATGGGGAGACAGAATTTCTCTGTGTGTGACTGACTAGTACTTGGCTCATATCACCATTAGAGCACCAATCATACTATATTATCATTATCATTTTTTTCATATCTGTCTCCCTCACCAGAATGACTAGCTAGAGGAATGAAAAAACCCTACAGAGCAATATATGTACTTTATGAGTATTTACATGGATGGAAATTACCTATGCCAGGTGGAATGTTCAGAGGATTGAGATTTGAGCTGAGTGTTTAGGGGTGGTTTCAGTACAGATTAGGCTTCCCTGGTGGCTCAGAGGTTCCCTGGTTGCATCTGCCTGCAACATGGGACACCCAGGTTTGATACCTGGATCAGGAAGATCCCCTGGAGAAGGAAATGGCAACCCACTCCAGTATTCTTGCCTGGAGAATCCCATGGACAGAGGAGCCTACAGTCCACAGTAGGCTACAGTCCACGGGGTCGCAAAGAGTCGGACACGACTAAGCAACTTCACTTTCTTTCTTTTATTTTTCTTTCAATACAGATCAAACATGAAAACAGGGGTATATATCAGACAAGAAGCAGGGCAGAGTCTAATGCTTACTTATCCCAGCTGTCAGCTAGGTGCTCTCTGTCAACCATCTAATTTAGTTCTTACAACTACCATGTGAGGAGGGGTTATTATACCCATTTCTCAGATGAATACCTTGGTAGTCAAAGAGTTGAAATAACTGTCTAGGGTCTCACAGCTTAGAAGTAGCAGAACAAGGCCTGAAAACCAGATCTGCCCAACTCAAGACTCTGTACTTTCCACACTGTATCATACTATCTCATCTAGAAGTAAGAACCAGGGGATTGCTTTGATAGGGCCACTGAGGAGACTGATTTAACAAAAGTAGAGCTGGAGTTAAAGTCCAGTGTTAGTGCCTGGGATAATAATTTGGGACCAACTCATAGAGGGCCTTGAATTTTTGCTAGGGAGTTTGAACTTTATCCTGTACATTTTATAGCCACTGAGAAAACCTTTAAGGAAAAGAAAAACAATTTGCAAATACTTAAGGATTATGGATGAAAGTTGATATTTTTTACATTTACCTTAAAAAGTTTTGTAGAAGAAAAAATGATTATCAAGGTTTACTGACAAAAATTGAGTGAATATCAAAATCTGCTAATACCCTTGCATAGTTGCACATGTGTCTATTTCCAGATGCTGTTCATCAGGCCATGAATATTTCTGTGGCCTTTTCTTCAGTTAATATTATTTTATATGAATACATTCTTCACCTAGCCCAAATCCTTGTTAGTTCATGCATAGTATGTATTGGTTAAATGCTTGTAAGAATTTAATTATTTGCCTCTGTGCTTGAGTCTGACTTTTTGCTATTAAGAAGCATGTTTTGTGCTGATTGCTTATTTTTTCCTCTTGGGTTAATTTCTTTGGGTCTGGTCTTCAAAGTGAATCACCTGGATCAATGAGCATGAACTGTCTCATATATATTATTTTTCATTACATCCACATTGTTCCAGAATTCCTGATGTCAGACAATCTAGATAGAGAAAGCCCAATGTATAGTGCCATGAGCAATGTGTGCATGCATCTGTTTCAATATACTCTTGCCAGAACTGTTTTATTAAAAAAATTATGTGTATTTAGTTTGTGCTGAGTCACATGGAGACTAGAGACATAGAGGTAGAAAGTTCAGTTAGGAGACTGCTACAATAGTCAAGGTTTAAGTGAAAAGAACCTGATTTTTTGGTGATGATGACTATAACAAATTCACCATCAGATATTGACTAAGCACATGGTATGTGTCAGTCACAATACTAAACATGTTAGTACCTAAGTAAATTCTCTCAATGCCTCTGTAAGATAATGTATTGGTCTTAATTATATAGTTGAAGAAACTGAGACTGAGCAAATTGATACCCTCAGTTCAGTTCAGTTCAGTCACTCAGTCGTGTCCAACTCTTTGCAACCCCAAGGACTGCAGCATGCCAGGCTTCCCTGTCTATCACCAACTCCTGGAACTTACTCAAACTCATGTCCATCCAGTCAATGGTAAGATATTGACTAAGCACCTGTTATGTGTATTATTGGTCTTTATATAGTTGAAGAAACTGAGACTGAGCAAATTGATATCCTAGGTGACACAAATATGAAGTTCCAGAGCTGAAGTTCAAACATAGACTATCTGAAGGGATAGCTGCTAGAATAACTTTTTTAATCCAGAGTTGTTAGTGACCAAAAAGAAATGGGGACAAAGAGAGGTGGCCAATATCACTGCAATATTGGGTATCTCCTGAGGAGTAGTGTTCCATTTGACTAACTGTCCAAGTTCTTCTTGTTCTCTCTTCTAGGAGACTCTGACAATTTCAGCAAAGTGCGGCCTCCAGGAGAAAAGCCAACCATCATCCGACCCCCAGTGAGGCCTCCAGACCCTCCCTGCCGGGCAACTACTACCCAGAAACCAGAACCAAAGCCAGATGTTATGGCTGGCAATGCAGGGGAAATCCCATCATCTGTGTAAGTCGGGCTTTTTTTCAACCTTGACCTAAAGCCCACCTTAGATCACTAAGAATGCTTTTAAGATTATCATTATGGTTGTAAAGGGTGTACAATGCCCTGGGGCATCATTCACTTCATAGTGAAGGGAACTGTCACAGACCAGCCCTGTTCAGAGTTTTCTACTCAACACTTAAGGCTGGGAGAGTTTTCCTAAGCTGAAGTGTTTAAAACTTAATGCATGATAGGAGACCCATTTTTCTTAGTCACCCTGATCTCTGTAGGGTAATAAGATTACCTGCTGCTTCCATGCTTCCTTGGCTCTAGAAATTTTTTATCTTATTATTACTACTTGTTTTAAAAGTAATTTAATGAACAGATTTGTTCATTTTACTTGTACTTTAAGACTTTTTTTTAAAAAAGAGAAAGTATGATTTTAAAATTTTTCCAAAATGACTCATTCTCCAGAGAGCATCTTACAGGGTAAGAACAGAACTGATATATCCAGCAGGCCTTCCTGAGGCTGGTTTGCAAGCCAAGAAACCAGGGATAGAGCAGCTAAGATGGGGCCACAGCATCTCTCAGGGACCAGCCTTGCTTGGTCACAAAACTAGCCTGGCTGGCCTCTCCTTAGCCAGTGCCTGGGACCCCTCTCAGTATACTGCCTCCTGGTTTTCCTTTTTCTTGTGTTTATTGTCTCATAATTGTAAAATTGAGGAAGTAAGAAAATAAAAGCCTCTACCACTTGGACTGATTAGCTAAGTGTATTTACAAAATGCCAAAAGCTATACTCTGAAACCAAGAACTTGTTTCACTTCTTTCTCCCAAGAGTAGCCTGAATGCATATCATACTTAGACCATTCTGAACCAAGGGGAAGCAGAGGGTATCAGCCATAGCCTTGGGGGTGTCTATGGTGTCTAAGCCATTTCACATTCTGATATGCAGATTTTCCCTCAGACACAGATCCTTTGCAAGCTAAGGCAGAGCGTGGTATTGGTGGCCTGTCTGGTTCATATTTTATTCTCCTTTCCATTGGCCATTGGTTCTCACACATATTTCAGAGCAGTTCATGGGACTTGGTTGGCTTCTGTTTGCAGAGTGGCTTCCAGGACCAGATTCTTTGAAACAGCTTCCCGGAAAACAGGAAGGTAAGAGATGCAGATGACAGAACTAAAACCAAATCACTTTTTAATAAATGCATCATGAGTGTGTCATTTACTTTCTTAATATTCTCCTTTTCTATTTATCTGTAGCTCTGTCTCTGTCTGGCTGTGTTTGTTCCTTTCCCTCCCCCAACACTGTCTTTCTGTCTCCCCAATCTTAACTTGTGTTTCTGTCTTTTCCCTATACCTGTGTGTCTCTCTGCCTTTGTCACTCTTACCTATTTGCTTCTTTTTTTTTAACCTATTTGCTTCTTTTACACTATTTCTTTCTCTGTCTCTGTAATTCTCAGTCTCTTTCTCTCTTTTTGTGCTTTTCTGCTTATGTCTCTGTTTCTTTGTCTCTCAGTTTCCCTATCTCTTTGACTCTTTTTCTGTCTCTCCATGTCTCTCTTTCTTTGTCTATCTCTGTATTTGTTGTCTTTGCCTCTCTGACTCTGTTTTTCAACCTCTCTCTCTCTCTCTCTCTCTCTCTCTCTCTCACACACACACACACACACACACACACACACACTCACACGAGTATTCACATGCCAAGTGGTATTGCAAAAATTTTATGCTCATTGTAGGCCTTTTTTTTGTTAGTTTGCTTATTTAGATCCCATTTTATTCTAAAAGGGCAGCTGATAGAAATATATAGAGTGCACTATTCTAACATAAACAGCCTTAGAATAAACATAGTCCTGATTTCAGAGATAAGCATTAGACTTAAGTGGTTGTTTTCAAACTGGCTGCACATATAAATCACCTGGAAAATTTTGAGGGAAAAGAAAATGAACACAGATTCCTGCCTTCCACTCTAGACTCATTAAAACAGAATCTCCAGGAGTAGGGCCTGGGAATCTAGGTTTTTACATTTCTTTCCTTTCTTCCTTCCAATTAATTTGTTTTTAAATTCTTCAAGTGCTGGTATAGACTTTTCAAGGCCTATCGTTTGGGACCCTTTAGATTGGAACACCTGGAGAAATGATTGCTTATCCTTCATGGACTCGACTCTTCTGTGAGTTTACTTAGTGTTGCTTATCAGAGAGTTCAAAATTGTGTTTCCTGGTGGGAGATAGCAGTGTAACTCTTCTGGGTGTTCAGTTAAAAGCAGAGTAATATGCCTTTACCAGCACTGGAGCTGGGATAGGTTAGACATCATTTTAGTTAAAACTGTGGGCCCTGACTCACCAGGACATGATTCTGAATAGCAGGCCACTCAAATTCTGCTTGGCAGTCAGTCACACGGAACTCTAGTCTAGACCAAATTCTCCTTAGACAATAATTTACCATTTATTCTACCATAACAGATGAAAGTGAGATCAAAGCCCTAGATTTCTCTTACTGATATAATGAAGATAAAGTTTTTTTTTAAAAAAGAAAAGAAGATAAAGTTTTTACCTAGAATATTTTTTGAAGCAGGCTTAATCAGATAGGCTTGGGGGGGGGGAGGAAAAACAGAATGAGACACCTTAATATTCTTAAAGCATCTGCCTATAAGCAGGACTATTTACTACCTCTGGGTAGTCCTTCCTCCCTCCCTAGGATAAGCCATATGATAAATAAATACCAGGAAAATAGAATAAAACAATCTTGAATTAACAGAGTGAACTGGGCATATCTAAAGGAAAGCTTTTTAGAGGTAGTGGAATCGAGATGGAGATTGAAAGATGGGTAGAATACACTGAAAATGAGAAGGATTGTTCTGTAGCCTTGAACAGGGCCCCAAGGCGTTGAGCTGTATATGTACTAGGCATGAACAAAGTCCAGTAGAATCTTTAAGGCAGCTTGATTTCTAATAGGGAAACTATAGCCAAACTGGTGTTGAAAATGTGGAAAGATTGGTAACCATTGCCTAGGTTGCCATATTTGTCATAGTGCTCAGAGAAGTCTTGGACCAACTGCAACATAGGGTACTATGGCCAAAGCAGGCACTTCAGGATGGAGGATGACCCTACCAGTCCTATGTTCAAGCCTCTGGAACCTAAATTTAATCCTCTTCCTTATCTCCAGATTCTATCTTGGCAGGAGTGTGTGTAAGACCAAGGTGGGTACACCAGTTCTCCAATATGTCATGAGTCACCTTCCTAGGTACCTACAGATTCCTCCCACTCAGCATCCACATGACAAAAGCACTCCTTCCGTCTAGACCCATTTTTTTAATTAATTAATTTATTTTAATTGTAGGCTAATTACTTTACAATATTGTGGTGGGTTTTGCCATACACTGACATGAATCAGTCACGGATGTACATATGTCCCCCCATCCTGAAACCCCTCTCCCTTCTCCTTCCCCATCCCATCCCTCTGGGTTTTCCCAGTGCACCAGCTTTGAGTGCCCTGTTTCATGCATTTAACTTGGACTGGTCATCTATTTCACATATGGTAATATACATGTTTCAATACTATTCTCTCAAATCATCTCACCTTTGTCTTCTCCCACAGAGTCCAAAAGTCTCTTCTTTATATCTGTGTCTCTCTTGCTGTCTTGCATATAGGGCCATCATTACCATCTTTCTAAATTCCATATATATATGTTAATATACTGTATTGGTGTTTTTCTTTCTGACCCCAGTTTTGTAACCACCATTTTCATCAGTACATCTACATGCTGGCTGCTGGTCAAAATTCTTAGACTAGCCACAGTCAATCTCATCTCATCTCTAATGAAAATGATAATCTATTTAACCTTTGCTGTGCCCCTTTTCGCCTCCAACTTGTACACCTGACTATATGTAATCTGATATTTGAATGACCTCACTTCTCATTTATCTCCCTTATATAACAATTTAAAAATTAAAAACTCAAAAGAAGAGAAAAGAGGGGAAAGTATTTCAGTAAGGCAGAACTGCTTGTGCAATGCAGGTTTACAAAGTGATTAGCGTTCCACTTTAGCTGGAATGTGGAGGTGAGGGGAAGGAAGCTCAGCTGGAAATGAGGCCAGGAAGATGGATTGGGGCCAGATTGTAAAGGCCTTATATAACATACCAAGGAGTTCAGTCTTTACTCTTTAGTCATTATGGAGAGCTTAAAAGTTTAAAAACATGACAATGCATATTCTAATCTGCATGAATTATTTTGAAATACACACACATTTTGTTGGTAATGAGGAAGATAGGAGAGTAAAACCTGAAGGCAGTGAGACCAATTAGGAGGCTAATCATCCTAGCATGAGTTGATGAGGTCCTGATATATGGCATTGTTAGCAGGAATAGAATGAAAGGATAGATTTGAGGTAGACTCAGTAAGACCTTAATGACTTTTCAAATATGGAACATTGGAGAAGGATTAAGAGAGAAAAAGTCTAACTTGGACAGCTGGGTAGATGGTAGCAATAGTTAATCATGGTGAAACAGGTTTTGTGGAAAACTTTCTCTGCTCAGTTTTGGACACAGTGTGTATGAAGATTCTGTGGGACACCTAGATGGTAATGACCAATGGGTAACTACAACTTAGACTAGTAATTGGTACTGGACCTACATACGTTTAGGGGTAGAATTATTGAGTAGAGCCACTGTACAAATTTATTCACATATACTGCAATATGAATAGTAGACTTTGGGGTGGGGGGTGTCTCAGTGCTTGATGGGGATTGAAATCATGAATGGGAATAAGATCACTCAGGGAGTAGGTATAAATAGACTCAAGAGAGAATAGAAAAACAATGTTGAGAACATAGCCCTGGGACCAGCTGTTGTCTGGGATTTTCTGCCCACATTATATGGACCTTAATTCTCCAGGATTTTCTCTTTCCTCCAACTATCTCTAGACAAGGTGACCGTAGGACTGATCTAAAGACATCAAGAGGCCAGGCAAAGCTTGTTTGGTCTCTGAGGCAAAGGAAGATTCATGTTTCATAGAAGGCATTTGCCTTCCCTCATTGCCCTTCTGTCATTGGAGATAATCATAGAATGTAGTCTTTGGTCTTAGGCCAATTTCTCTGGTCTCCCCTAGCCTCCCATTGTATGACACTCAAAGGATCGTGGTAGCACCTGAAAGATGTTTTTGGGTCTGGGACACTGGGCTGTCTAAATCTGCTAGAGAGATAGCCTAACCTATAAGCATGGAGTGAGATGTTTTGAAATACTGGGATGGAATCACTTCCTAATTTTTCAAATAGCCTGATTGGCACTGTCTCAGAAAGTGTTTGCCACTTGTTTGCCTTTCCGGTTCTGATTTCTAGAGTCTTAGTGAAATGTCTTTCATCCTTTACCCACAGTTCTCAAGGCAGACTTCCTGGAGATGAGAGTTGAGGCCTCAGGTATGTAGTATCCTCTTCTGATTACAAAACCTTGTTACACACATGCCTTCTTTATGAGATCTGAGTTTTTGAGAACTGGAATGCCATGTAGGTCCACAGCCTGGGAATTCACCTCCGTGGCTCAGTTTACTACTTTGTAATTACATGACCCTTATACTTACTGTTGTTTAATACTGAGGTTCTCTATGTTTTTAAGTTTCCTTTCTCTTTCCTTTCTTTCTCTCTCAGCCAAACTACAATATAATTTTATGAATTGCCTTTGAATCAAAGTCATTAGGAATCCTAGATTGTGATATTTGGGGCAATTACATTTCCTTTCCTGGGCCTCAATTTCCTAATATGTAAAATGAAATGTTTGGAACCTTTTAATTCTGACATCCTTTGGGTCTGTAAGAATATCAGTAAACACTCATTTGATACTTTGGTAGGTCCCAAGAGTCTACCTTAGTATTTGTAGAGGGATTTCATTCCTTCAGCCCAAATCACTATTTCATACTCCTTGAACCTTCATCCGTAGTTCTTTATATGTGTCAAATGCAAAGCACTTTCACATCCATTAACTCATTTAGTCCATATCAAATGTCAGAAATAAGGAAGATAATATGTACTTTCACTAAACATATAAAGAAACTGAGGTTCACAGGGGATACATAACTTACTAAGATCACCAGAGCCATGGAGATCATGGAAATTTCTTTCTCTGCCTAGAAGTTCTGATTGACAATCAGATTGTTGGCATGCTATAAACCAATACATGCATAAACAAGATCCAAGTATCTGGAGCAGAGCTTTCCATGTACTCCCCTTCCTTCCTTTTCTTCCTATCACTGCCAGTCCTCAGAGGTCTGTGGGTAGATAAGCTTTTTCTTATCAGCTCTCATGAAGGTAAAGTCCCAGTAAAAGGAAATCTGGAGTTATTGTAGGGCCATAGAGGCAGTGACCATTCTGCAAGGGGCAGGGGGGTAATCTCAGAGATATCAGGCTTCTATATCCCCTATAGACTTTTTGAGGATTAGAGTTCAAGCTAAAGACACAGGGTTTCCAGCCCTGATTATAGCACCATATTGGGACTGGTCTATGGAATCTGAGTTATAAGGGCTTTTTCCTAGCCAGCTGCTGTTGCTGAGCAGATTTGCTACCTACCACGAGAGGCCCTACTGCCCAGTGGCTATTAAGTGCTTAACCAATCATAGCTAATTCCTTACTCTCTTCTTTCCCTTTCAGGTTGTAAAATCCTTGGCCTCAGGGGACCCTTTCCAGGTTCTAGAAGGGTCTTCTTCAAATCCTTGTGTGCTGAAGAGCAGATTCTTCCTGTCCCTGCACCTTCAGGCTCTGGGAGCCTATAAAATAAGGGGCACATGTCCTATACACGTTTATTTCTCCTTTGTATTCTGTCTTCATTCCCCTAGAAGGTCTATCTAGAGCTCCTATAAGACTGTGAATGGCTGAACTCCCTCAAGCCAGACTGCAGAAACCAAGCTATCCACTGACCTGAGTTGAAGAGAGGAGCTCAGTTTTCAACTGTTCTCTGAACTTCCTGCCTCCTCAAAAGGCCATCTATCTCTGAAAGATTTGGGGCTAAAGATTGATCTTAGAAGTCTTACCCTGAACTAAAAGTTACTTGAGTTGGGGCCATTGCTTACCTTGGAAGTAGGGGAGTAGGAATATTTGCTGAACTTCGGAGGCTCTTACCATGTCTCTTACTGAAGATATGGACCCTAGTGCCAGTTTGGAGCTCTGGCATGGTACTACATTGCCAAGAATGCATCTGCTCCTATGGGCCAGACAGAATGAGTGACACCTCTACAATCCCTCCAATGTGGACTCAGGAAGGTGGCCTTCCTGCTTTTGCATACAGCCACTTAGGACAAATCTGCAAAGCATGTTTTGCATGTCAAAGCCTATGTCTGTTTGAATTATTCTTCTTCCTGCTTTGTCCTAACAGCTTCCTTTCCAAGCAATCAGAAAGAAACAAAAGCTTAAAACAGTTCTTTTTTTTTTTTAAGGCAGACTGTGTGTGTTCTGTAGGAGTTCCATTTTGGGATCAAATGCTGGGGAAAATTGTTAAAATGGATAAAAAGGCCAGGTAGTTGTCACTGTTGTTTCATGTTTGTTTTTTGAAGATAAGCTCTTTTATCATCTGAAAGAAACAGTTCTTAACCCAGTATCTATGGACTCAGGAACTTCATAAAGCCTCTGAAATGGTATGCAGACTTCCACAACAATGTGCCTTTTCTGAGGAAATAGTCCATAACATTCTAGTGAATTTCAAATTGGACCTGTGACATAATAAAGATTAAGAACCGCAGCCCTTGAGACAAAATTTTGACTCTTTTTACAATTCCTAAAATAATTGATTAGAAAGGGATTTTAGTATTATTTAGTCAAACTGCTTAGTTTACTATTGGGTAAACTCAGGCAGGGCAAGTTAGCAGCCGTACCTAAACAAGATCCAATATCCCTACTCAAGGTTCTTTCAATTATACCATGCTTATCAAGCAAAGGGCCTCATGACTGGTAGCTTTAGGGGCCACCATTTTGAGAGTTTGACTTTTACACTCTTTCTTGAGCCACATATACTTGCCACCAAGTGGGACTTCCACAACTAAGCTCCTGGTCTTCCTCATTTGATGTTTCAATCCTTGGAAAGGAACTAAAACACAATTAATTAGTGAATTGAGTCAGAAATCTGACAAGTAGACATTTCTGATTCCTATTTGTTGAAGAGAAGCTGCTGGAAAAAGTGTCACCACTTGTTTCCACACAGGTGCCTTGATTTAAGGGTAGGTTTTAAGATAGCTTGTCTTTAGGATCTGTGTAATTATTGGGTTGGCCAAAAATTCATTCAGGTTTTTCCATATGATGGTACAGAAAAACCCAAATGAACTTTTTGATCAACCCAATATAATGTGGTCCAGTGTGAGAGAAAGGACTTCCCTATTGGACTCTTCTAGCAAGGCCCTGCTAGTGCACTTACAATAGAGCCAAGAAGAAGCATAGACATGGAGAAAAGAGGAGGCGAGAGGAGGTGATGAGAAGAGAATGCATGCATGCAGTAACCAACTCTGAGATGCCTTTGGAACAGTGTTACTGAAAGGCAATAGCTACTTTCAAGATTTAACTCTAAATATGGCTTATTGATGAGTTAGTGACATGTTATCTGACATAAACACACTGAGAGCCTTTGTGGAAGTAATTTAGTAGAAATTTGACAACATTCTTAATGAAGGTGTACCCAAGTGGCCATGTTGAACTCTCAGCTCTACCCAGTCTCAAAGGCCAAGTTGCTAAGAAACCAGAAGCAAGTAAGCCAAGTGGCCACCATTCTACCTGCTGCTCACCCCCAAACAGAATCTCTGTGAGGCCTGGTGGACTCAGTTAGGAAATACTCATTGAGCCCTAATCTCAGAGCTGCAGACTCTCTGCTCTGTCCCATTAGATGACTAACTAAACCAAGCAGGTATGCAGATTTTAGCCACAGAAGCAGTGTCCATTCGAGCCTTGGTACTTTTGAAGATATTAGAGACATGGTTTCACTGTGGTTTCCTTGGGGGGAAATTCCACAATCAATTTGTATTCCATCACAAATATTGAGAGATTATTGGGAACCAGAGAAAGTGAAAGTCACTCAGTTGTGTCCAACTCTTTGCGACCCCATGGACTGTACAGTCCATGGAATTCTCCAGGCCAGAATACTAGAATGGCTAGCCTTTCCCTTCTCCAGGGGATCTTCCCAACCCAGGGATTGAACCCAGGTCTCCTGCATTGCAAGCGGATTCTTTACCAGCTGAGCCACAAGGGAAGCCCGAGAACCAGAGAAAGATACCACAATTCCAGTGGAATATGTGTCCCAAAAATGTGGCTGTGAGATTGCTATGTGTTTCCTGGGACAGAGATCAAGAACCTGGTCTAAAGAGTTGGGACCACCAGTCTGGCTGGAAGCCAAGAGCAGTGACTGTTCCTGCCCTGGGCTATACTCAAAGTATTACAAAGAATGAACCTCAGCATCTACCCTTTTGTTCTTTGATTTAAAGAGAAAAAGCTTCTGTGAAATGAGATTGACTTGACTTGGGGTTGATGGATAGTCATTCAGAAGAGGCTATGGCAAAGGGTTGATAATTGTAGTGTGTCAACTATAGGAAATTATCTGCATACCTCAGTCAGCAGGCTAGAGAAACTGGCAATGGATGAACTTGAACTGACAGTGATAGCATTTATGAAGCACCTACTAAGTGCTAGGTGCTTCATATATATTAAATCCTTTAGCCCTACAACAATCATACAAGTGGGTGCTATCCTCATCTTACAGATAAAGGATTTATGGCCCAGCAGGCTAAAATAACTGGCGCAAGGTCACACAAGTAAACAGAACTGTTATTCTAATCCAGGTCTCTCTGATTCTGCATCCCATGTTGTTTTCCTTTTGTAATATAAAGGCCATATTACTGGAGCTGACATGATTCTCTGACTCTTGCCTGATTAACAAAATATTAAAAGGCAAGCATTTGAGGGGAAGGAGGGAATGCAGGTCCAATTTACTGGGGAAGAAAAAACTGGGCTGAAAGCGATTTCTGTTATGTTTCCTCCTCCCATTCAGTATGACCATTTGTTAAGGTTTTAAAAAGGATCATTTACTTTTACCTTGTGACACAAAGGATTTATTTTTTGTTGGTAGTTGTCAAATCCTTGGCTTAGCTGCTTTTCAAAGAAAAAAAGGCCCTTCTATATGTCTGTTACTTCCCCAAAGTTCTAGCATGTGCAGTGTCACCCTGAGACTGGTGGCATCCACACATGTAGTTTGAGAAGATGAAACGATCTTGGTGCTTCTGCAATACTTGATGCCTTGGGATCAAATCCCTATTAAGGGTTTTCTGTGATGACAGCAAAAGTTAAGAAATGATTTAGAATAAAAAATATTATTGAATTTTTTGTTTAAAAAATATGAGGGATATTGTCCAGCCACTGAGGGGCAAAATTCAGCATCCAAGTTGAGTAATAAGTGGTGTCATGTAGACTATTTCTAAAATAAGTTGCTATTGTACGAAAGAATCCTTTCCTTTTCAAGAAGTTCTTTAATTCTGTAATAACTAGAATAAATAAAGTAATGAAAAAGTGCTTCTGTGACTAGAAAAAATTGCTTTTGAGAGAATGTAGATCAATGATACTATGTTTAATGTAGCTGCCTCTAATGGCCTTGACACATTACAATCCCAGAAAAAGCTTCAGAAGCATTTAAAAAATGCAGAGAAAAGCAAGATACCTTGAAGAGATGTTTTTGATGAAGAAAAGCCTCCATTTTCATAAGGAAAAGAATCATTTGATACCAAGGACATTAATAGATCCTAGAAAGATGCCTTTATGAAATACATATGTAACATCAGAAGAAAAAGAATTAAATCCTGGAGTACATTCACATGACTTTTAATAAAGTATACAGACTGTCCAGTATTAATGGCCTCTATCTGCAGTTTTGTCATGGAAACAATCTTTGAGCATATTATGCATGATCCAATCATTGTTCCTATTGTCTTCTGTATTTCTAAGGAAATATAGGGCCCAGAATCTGTTTGTACCCAGGGATCTCCATCTACAGTCTATTTTGCACCAAGTCCAGTTATTCCTTAAGGCCTCACAACATCACTGTGTGAAAACGACAGCCCCATTCTACAGATAAGAAAACTTGAGACTCAGGAAGATGAGAAATAATTTGCCCAATGTCATACAGTTAGGAATTGATTAAAAACGCAGCACTAAAAGCCACAGGAGCATTCCTGTTTCTAATATAGCACACTACTCCAAGTGGTAAAGGAATTCTGACAGTAAGTGGAGATGATGTTTAGAAATGAGACTAACAACATCTGCAAGTCTTGCTACTCAAAATATGGTCCATAATCAGCCTCAGCATCAGTATTACCTGGGAGCTTATGAGAAATACAGATTCCTGGGCCCCATCCCGGACATCTGAAATCAAAATTTGTATTTTAATAAGATATCCAGGAGAAAACTATGCACATTAAAATTTGAGAAGCACAGATTGTAAGCCAAAATAGGTTGAGGAAGTAGATATCTTGGTGAGGTAAAGACCAAAAATGGTAGAGAAAACCAATCTGGTATGTTGGAAATGTTTACAAAGTTTGTGTCCATAGCTGCCTGCTTCTTACATTGCTTTGTACATGGTCTTATACTTTGATGAAATATAAATGAAGTTTTTCTACTTCAAAGAATAGTGAAACCACCTTAAGACTGAAAGTTATCTGAGTTTCAAATCTCTGAGCATTAAAAGCAGTAGAAAGGCAACATGGAGTATTGTAAAGAGTTCATTCAGGAGTGTTGGGGGTCCAGACTCACTCCTCGCTGCCTGTCTGTAATGCTGAGCAAGTCTCCCCTAAATTGTCTCCCTTTAAACCAGGTAGTCTCAAAAGGTATTTTCAGTTTTGACATTCAGTTATTCTCAGCTGTGGATTTTAACTACAGTCAACCTTGTAATGAAAGCATGGACAATTCTACTGGGTTTTGTCTGCCTAGAGATTAGTATCTTAGCTCACATGAGAAGGAGTATTCTGAGAGGAAATACCACAGTCATGACAAAGCTACATTAATGGAAATTGCAAGAAACTGGGAGAAGCATGACTCTAGTTAACTGATTTGAAATTGGCAAGTATTTTAATTAATGTATAACCAAGGCATCCATATTCTTTTGGGAACCAGCTGCTTCAAACCACATACTTGGAAATCAACTCTTATATCCTGAATAGGGCATACTTAACAAAATTTAATAAAATTCCTTTAATGTGGGATTTGGGGGGTAGTTTATTGGGGGTAGGAGAGACTTGTAAAAAAGAGAAGACTCTTGCTCATCCTCCAGCTTGTATCTCTCCAGGTGATTCTGATGCTCATTAGCTGAAAACAACTAGTTATAATCTAACCTCTTAAAATGGAGAAACAGAGAGGAGAAGGAACTGATCTAAGGTCACATGCCAAAGCCAATGGCAGAAAACAGGTGCTCAGTGTACCACCCCAAGGGTCTTTCAACTCTGCTTTCTTTGGGTGACTTAAACAAGTTTACCAGAATCAAGATATCTGCTTCCAGCAGTAAGGCACACACTGGGAAGGATGAATATGCCTTCCATCTGAATACTTTGCTTCCATCACATGTTCACACTCATTTCTTTATTGAGGCTCAGAGAGATAACGTAACTTACTTGCCCAAGGTCACACAGATAGGAAATAGACTTGTACCTAAGTTTGCTGATTTCACCTATGCTGCACTAGTTCTCTAGGAGAGAAGCAGTCCTCCAAATCCTCAGCACTTCTCCTGAGAAATGTCAGGAGCTGTAAGCTTTTAATTGCTTTAATACAGTTGTTTCAAAACAGATCAATATTTTCCCTACTGGAGAATATCCTAACAACTTTATAACTTGTAACTCTGCAGAGCACACTTAGGTCCATTATTTTGTTCTCAGACCCATAAAGTAGGTAAGACAAGGTATTAAGCCCTCATTTGACACATACAAAGTGAGGCACAAAACCACTGTATTAATTTTCTATTGCTGCTGTAATAAACGATGACAAACTTAGTAGCCCATCACGCTCCTTTGTCCATGGAATTCTTCAGGCAAGAATACTGAAGTGGTGAGTCATTTGCTTCTCCAAGGGATCTTCCTAACCCAATGCAGGTCTCCTGCATTGCAGGCAGATTCGTTACTGTGTGAGCCACCATCTGCTATATGCCAAATGTGAGTCTTAGTGCTTTGCATGAGTTTACTAAATTTGTCCAGATAATATTCCTATGAGGTAAGTACTGGCATTAGCCTCATTTTACAAGTGAGAAAACTGAGGAACAGAATAGTTACATAATTTCCCCACATTCCCTCAGCCAGAAAAGGGTGACTTCAGGATTCAAATTCAGATTTTGTGCATGCGTGCTAAGTTGCTTCACTCAAGTCCGACTCTATGCAACCCTATGGACTGTAGCCTGTCAGGCTCCTCTGTCCATGGGATTCTCCAGGCAAGAATACTGGAACAGGTTGCCATGCCCTCCTCCAGGGAATCTTCCCAACCAAGGATCAAACCCACATCACTTACGTCTCCTGCAGTGGCAGGTGGTTTCTTTACCACTAGCGCCACCTGGGAAGCCCACAAACTGAGACCACTCCCTTAACTAATTCCTTGTGTCTTCTACAAGACTGGGAAAATTCTCCTAGAGGAGACATAAAAGTCAAATCAATGTCCCTTGCACCTTTGATGCTCTAAGCTTGCCCTCAGAGCCCTGGCATTCTGATAACCCAAGTCAGCACAGCTGAATATCCTGAAGGAGTCAGAGACTTGCTGTGTTTTATGGGGTCAGTGGGGGGCTTTCCCACTGGCCCAACAGTAAAGAATCTTCCTGCAGTGCAGTAGATGCAGGTTCAATCCCCGGGCCAGGAAGATCCCTGGAGGAGGGCATGGCAACCCACTCCAGTATTCTTGCCTGGAGAATCCCATGGACAGAGGAGCCTGGCAGGCTACAGTCCATAGGGTCACAAAGAATTGGACACAACTGAAGCAAATGAGCATGCATGCACACATGGGGCCAATGGAGTGCAAAGTGAAGGTGCCCAACATTTTCTCAGAGCCTGGAAGGAAAGGAGCGTGTCAGTCCAGGTAGGTTGGGTCTAGATGGGTTGGTCCAGGGACTTCCCTGATAGCTCAGTGGTAAAGAAATCACCTGCAAATGCAGGAGACATGGGCTCAACCCCTGATCTGGGAAGATCCTACATGCCACAGATCAACTAAGCCTGTGCACCACAACTACTGAGCCTGTGCTCTAGAGCCTGGGAGCCACAACTACTGAACCCATGCACCACAGCTACTAAAGGCTGCACTCACTATAGCCTGTGCTTCACAAGAGCGGCCACCACAATGAGAGGCCTGTGTACTGCAGCTAGAGTGTTGTCTCTGCTTACCACAACTAGGGAAAAACCTTTGCAGAAACAAATACCCAGTACAGCAAAAATAATGTTTTTTTTTTTAAGATGGACCGTTAACTACATGCAAGGCAGCAAAAGAGACAAAGATATAAAGAATAAACTTTTGAATTCTGTGGGAGAAAGCAATGGTAGGATGATTTGAGAGAACAGCATTGAAACATATATATTACCATATGTAAAATAGATGAACAGTTCCAAGTTCCATTCATGAAGCAGGGCACTCAAAACCAGTGCTCCGGGATAACCCAGAGGGATGGGGTGGGGAGGGAGGTGGGAGCAGGCTTCAGGATGGGGGTACACATGTGTACCCATGGCTGATTCATGTCAATGTATAGCAAAAACCATCACAATTTTGTAAAGTAATTATTCTCCAATTAAAATAAATTATTTTTTTAAAAAAGATGGGTCAGCCCCAGGAATACCCTCTGCAGAGTAATATTTCCACTGATTCCCCATGAGACAGGTGGGCCTCACTCTTGTGGTTTGCATTCAAGTTGTATCATTTCCTTTGAAATTCTATGAGGCCCATTTCTTGAAGACCCAGGCCCTGAGCATGCCCCCAAAAAGTGCCTGAATTAAGGCTGCAACAAAGAGTTTTCCTGATTCTGGAGAACAGGGCTACACAACGACTTTCACTATACCTTACATTTCCCAGCATTTGACAAGACTGTGGGAACTAAGTTTCCACTTGTATTGTCAGCCCTGGATTTATTCCTCTTCTTTCTACTTCCTCAGTTATTTCCATCTAGGTACCATGATGCCGGCAGGTGCCACTCTACTGTAATTTCCAGAGCTATCATGATGTGAGGTAGGTAGGGTATGGACAACCTCAGTCCTGTCACTCACCTCTTCTCCACCCCTGCTACCATCCCTTAATACTCAGAATTCTGTCTCCTTTCTGAGCTTGAGATCTAGAGGGACTCAGTAGAAGTTGAGATCCTTTCTTCTCCATGTCTCCTTTGCTAGCCCTGGCCTCTAAACCCCCTGAAAGGAACTCAAATACCATTATCCGTATTCATGCCTCAATCACCACTGGCAAGTTACTTTACCAAAATAACCATGGTTGGCCCTTAAATAATGCTCAGTTAATATTAACCAGTGGTGGTATTAGTAGCAGCAGCAGCAACAACAATAGCAGTGGCTGCCTTAGTTGCTATGTAAGAATGGATTCTTCTCTATACCTATTCAAGGCTAGTGGACCATGCTCTGCCATTCAAAATCTTCCCAAATGTTAACTATCTATCACTTGATTCTTGAATTCTTCAGTATAGTGAAATGATTGTCTGGAAACAGTCATGTTCATTGGCCCTATACCTAGCCACCCTGATTCCCATCACCCTGTGGAACCTGTCCTCATGCATGGTTCAGTTTCCCCCAAATACTTATTCTCTTATGCCAGAGTTTCATGTAAATACTCCAGGCCCACTACTCTGGCCTGTGCAGTTTCCAACAGTCAGGTCTATGAAGCATTACTGAAGCATTCCTATGACTTGAGGAATAGAGACTTCTTCCTCCTATGGCCATTAAACTCATGGTTATGTGGCTTAGGTACCTTCACCCTCATGAAGATGCCTTATACTCTTCTGGGGAGCAGCTATTTTTCCCACACTCCTTACTCTCTGTTCCTCTACATTTTTTACTCTTATTGTCATTACAATAGTGTTTATTGTGTTTCCTCAAATGTCTTCAGTGAGCAAGTGGGTAGGTCTTGAAGGAGATATAGAAGAAAAGCACTATCCTGCTGCTGGTTGATTTCACACTTAATTAGAAATTAATCTTGCCTCTTGGCTGTCCAGGGTACGTTCATATTCAGCAAAAAATCACATTATTTTCCCTGAAGTGAATAAGACATCACAAAATACCTTTGGATATGGGTGTAAAGATTCTTTCAATGAATTTGAAGAGCTCTGGGAAAGAAACAGGCAGCTAAGTAGCCAAACTGGTTCCACTGTGACAAAGCAGAAAACGGACTTAGTCCTGACCACAAGTAAACAGTTTATAAGAATCTGATCCAGAACCTTTGCATAATGTGTCCTTCTAGAATTCAGAGCCTGGGGAGTTGAAACAAGCCCCATAATGGAACTGGGTGTTCCCTGGGACCAAGGGAAGGAAATAAACTTGTTCAACGTTTGTGTGTCAAACATAGCTGGGAGAGGCCTGAATCCTTGAGCCTTCCCAGTAGATCTGGCAAAAGAGCTAACTGGGTTAAAAAATGTACTACAATTGGACAGGCACATTGCATATATTTTCTGTACATTGTCTCATTTGAACCTTTTAACCACCTCATTTTAGTTCCATTTTATCTATAAAGACTTGAAATACAGAAAGATTGTTACTTGCTCAAAGTTTCATAGAGAGCAAAAGGTAAAAGTCTAGATAGGAATGGACTCCTAAGCCTATACAAAACATATTTTCATTACTAAAACATTCTCTAACACAGAAGACTCCAGTATCTAGTGTTGAACCTGTTTTCAAGAAAGAACTTTTCATTGCTTTTGCTGTGATGCTGGAGGTGGAGCAAGGAAGAATAAATAAGGTTGTGGCCAGTACCTGAAGCAAGTTGTGGTAGGAAAGGTGAAGGACCACTTATAGCTTATATGGAGACTGTGTGAATTAGGCAAAAGCACCCCTTGCTCAAAATACTTTATAACCATCTGCCAGAAAATTGTAACAAATACATAAATCTCTGATTAAGATGTGAGAGACACCACTAGATGTGGCCATATCAACCACATTCAATAGCCCCAAGGAGGTGAAATAATCATGGGGCTAACTGAAGCATTAATGAGTGTGCCTCAGATCCATGTAAGGACTAGACGGTCATTCTACAGATTATAGCCTTAGCAATTCTAAATGAGAAGAGATTATGGAGCTTAGTTAGTGGGAAGGATGGGCTTTGAATTTATAGAATTAACTTACATTTTCAAAGCCCTGAAAATTTTAGGATGCTGATTGGGAGCTGAGAGAAAGAATTGGGCAATGGGGGAGGGAAAGGCCCTCTGCTAAAACTTTTACACTTTTTTATGTACTCCTCAAAACAGTCATGGGAAAGATAGTATTATCTTAATTTTAGATGTGAGAGAACTGAAGCTCTAAGTTTAAAAACTTACCTTAGATCACACAGATATTAATTGGTGGTCCTAGGATTTGCCCCCAGGTGTGTCTAACACAAGAAATAGTACTTTTCTCCCTTTGCAATGCAACTGTTGGGCATTTAGGTGTGCATTCAATCAGTCAGAAGCATTAGGTTGGTGGCAGCCTTAGAGAATAAAGAAGCTCCACAAATCATATTCAGAAGTGCATGATCCTTG